TGTTGATAGTTATGTAGTCAATTTGGTTTTCAGTTTCTCCCGGGCTTCTCCATGTCCATAATCGTCTTAGATGTTCTTGTAACCAGGTGATGGCTATTACCTGGTCATTGACCGTGCATCATTGGACCCATTTTTTCCGCGTTCGAATTTGCGGAATATCTCCCCTACCCTCTCCTTGCTTACTTTGGTATTCAGGTCTCTCATGATAATTATAACTTCTTGGGATTTACACTGAGCCTTGGCGTTGTCTACCATAGTGTAGAAAGATTTGATTTCTTCTTCCTTATTTTGTGCTGTCGGGGCATACACTATTATTATAGATATATTGAAAGGCTTTCCTTTCAGTTTAACTACACGAATTCTTTTCGTTAATTAAAAATATCACAGAACGTATTTCTTGATGTTTTGATCTAGTATCAATCTAAATACTTTTTCACTTTTTCTCCGCCTGCATACATAATCATGTCACTAACAAAATCTCCGTTATTTGGCCGTCAAGTTTCACATACAGCTAAAATGTTAATATTTAACCTATTCATCTCCTGCTTTACATTTTCTAACTGGTCACAGTTGTTTAACTGTTGAGGCGCACCCACCTTCTCATCAGAATGGACTGATCTCTCTACTACTAATAGGACAGTTCTATAGAGTTCTGGGAAGATCAGGTGACCATCACACTTCCGTCTCTCTACCGGAAGATACTGTTGGACTTTATACACTTTCTGATTGTTACTGACTAACCTGCGTTCGTTTGACTACTAATGTCTCTGTTTTAAATACCTCTTCGGATATACCAGTATTTTTCCCTACGTATGTGTTTGTCCTTATTTCAATACACGCACGCGGAAACACTCAACATCTCAACATTAACGTAGTAACGTCCGATGCCCCAAGAGTTATTTTTAGTTTGCTAGCAGTCGTTGGATGATGGTTCAGTGACACATGTCGCTCCTTTTCGGGCGAGGGATAATTTCCGAACAATTTTTTCCCCTTTACACTGTTTATACAAGCAGTCGTTGGATGACGGTCAGGTGACACATGTTGCATATGCCTGTCCTTATCGGGCGAAAAGATAAGTCCCATAAACTTAACCCACTTCACGCCGTTAGGTTTCATAATTTGTTTGGTAATTGGCATGATACATCTTGGGATTAATATTGAAGTGTTTTCCCGTTGGTGGTTTATGGAGACACCGCCTCTTGTTAGCTGCTCATTGACTCATCGAGAGTTTTTCCACCCTTTGTTAAGTCTTATTTTTCGTCCTACTGAATTGCTAATAACCCGCCTCACTCAAAAGAACATGGACTGGGGTAGCCGGTTTAGTCGCCGATAGTTGAATACTTATATATATATATATATATATATATATATATATATATATGTGTGTGTGTGTGTGTGTGTGTGTGTGTGTGTGTGTGTGTATGTGCGTGTGTGTGTGCCCCACCAAACAGACTTGTATACATACTTGTTCGCCGAGGAGTGTAAAATAAAAATCCTAGCCTCCCACCATCTGTTAACGAGGAAAGCGTTTATGGCCCGGTTTAAATAGGGGACAGAGAGAATTAAATAAATTAATTATATATATATATATATATATATATATATATATATATATATATATATATTAAAAGAGAAATCGCAAATGTTTTGGTTATAATATGGATTTGTTTTAGTATATATATTATATGTTATTCTTCATATTTCTGCTACACGGGTTTCCGGTATCGTGACCTTCTTCAGTCAAATAAAAGGAATAAATTTTTAAGAGGAATAAATTTTTAAAAGGAATAAATTTTCCTTTGTAAGGAATACAAGACTCACTAACAAATACAGAAAACGAACAATGAGAAATTAAAAGATTATAAGAAAAATTTATTCCTTTACAAAATTGTTCCTTTTACTTTCCTGAAGAAGGTCACGAAATCGGAAACGTGTGTAGCAGAAATATGAAAAATAAAATATAATATATATACTAAAACACATTCCTGTTATAACGAAAAACGTTTGCGGTTTCGCTCTTTTTTAAAATATACATATTTCTCTCGTTGGAACATTTGTAACCTTTACCCTATATATATATATATATATATATATATATATATGTGTGTGTGTGTGTGTGTGTGTGTGTGTGTGTGTGTGTGTGTGTGTGTGCAAATAAATAGAAAAATACGGAAGAACCGTTAGGTTAATAATCCAATGGTCTTTAGTATATTGCTTCCAAGAATTCCTTGAGGATTAAATAGAGCTGTCATTTTATCTTCTATTTTTGAAACATGAGAACTCTTATGTAGCGATGAAATCATGTTTTTTATATATATATATATATATATATATATATATATATATATATATATATATGAAAAACTTGGTAATCCGTATGGGTAATCCCAAGGAGGATGAAATCCTGAGAGCTCAATGTAAATCCAGAGCTAATATTATAAAGAAAAACAGACCACTTTAAGGTACCATTATAATAATTTATTTCACCAGAGTCATTTTAAAGGACGCCTGATCATCAGATAGCTCTTCTAAAAATGAAATGAAACGAAAAATGAAATTAAAATTGATGGGTAGTGTAAGTTTTTTTAATTTAACAGAGAGTGTAATAAGGAGTGGTTAGAGAGACATAGTAGAGTTTAGGGAGGGATTAATTTCATATCTCTCTCAATCATACTTAGTACTGATGGAGGAGGAATGACCAGACCTTGACCTATTTAGACGGTTAACTTAACGGAAGTGATATATTGAAATGAGAGGAGAGAAGGGAGAAAAGAAAAAGAAAAAGGAAAAAGAAAGAAGAGGGAGAGGGAAGTAAAGAAAAAGAGAATGTAATTGGGTTTTAGCAATTTATGTAAAGAATAGATTTTAATGCTTGATAATAATTTAGATGTCTAAAAAAACCCGAAGAAATTAATATGGTGCTTGCTATCAATTTAAATATTTAATTTTTCTACAAATAGTTTAGGGATTTAATATAAGTTAAATAATATATTTATTAACACATTTGTAGAGAACATATTAAAGAAATTTTAAATTATAACAGTTTCTTTATCCGACTAATAGTACTTTTTTAATATTGTATAAAACAGTTACGGTAACATCTTTATCAGTTTGAATCTAATTTATGAATGTAATTTGTAATTATTTTTATATGGGTAATCTTTCTTACTTAAGTTTAGGTTTCGAATTAAAATGGAGTAATATTTGAGGGTAATATTAAAGATTTTGCTTTCTTCTTATATATATCACATACGTACTTATGCAAATCCTATATTTGTAATTATTTTTATATGGGTAATCTTTCTTACTTAAAGTTCATACGTTCATTTACATGCACAATTACACACACAGACACACGTGTAGCGATATACACAGGTACCTATAGACATTCAGACTTTCCCGAGAAATGAGCACACAATTTTGGTATGTCGAAGCCGCTCCAGAATTTGAAAACCACGTAAAGTCGCGTATATATATATATATATATATATATATATATATATATATATATATATATAGGCAAAGATGTATGACAAAGTGGAAAATATTTTCGTGTGACGCGTTTCGTATTTTAGTACTTCCTTGGACTAAATTTGTTTACGTTGATTTGACTACACATGCGCACGAATGAGTAGGAATTTTGAATTTAAAAATATTTTTTATACATGTGTTTTGGGTATATAATCTAGCCGATTTCCTTTAGATTCTTTTTCTTTTTGTTACCATCCCTTTTGCTATTAAATATCCCACATTGTGATAACCGAAGATCTGCCGAGAATGGTGAAACGTTGTAACAACTTGAACGCAAATTTTTTGCGGATTAACTAGCGATTAAAGCATTTTCTAAAAATTTTCGTCTTAGTGCATAATTTTCTCTTTTAATTAGAGTAGCATCTTTATATATGGTCAGTTTTGTTGCAGTGAGCAACTAATATGTTTAATGTGTTGTTTCGTAAAATATCCCTTTTGTATTAATTTAATCTTTTATCTGAACTTCTTGAGGTTTCTCCGATGTATTTTTGTGGCAACCATTACAGTTAATAGAGTAAATCCATCCTTCAGGTTTTACCGTATTGTTTTGTTTTGTATTGATTAATTCTTTTAATGTTTTAAACTTAGTTGTAACTAATTTTATGTTGAGTTTAGATAAATTATTTTCAGTTGTAGTTATAATATAGTCAATGAATAGAACAATATATTTTTGATTTACTGGGTTTGCCAGCAAGGGACGCTTTTCTACTTTGGAATAGTTTATGAGTCTTTTGTTTTGCATTGAATATGAACTAGTTAGGATATTTGAGACACTTAGAAGTAATTTAAAATGTATTTCTCCTCTTCATACAAATATTGAGAGCTGAAAATTCTGAGTGATCGATAATTAGTCCGGGTTTTATTTTGTTGCTATCATGGGAATAAAAATTTGTAAGATCATTTTCATTAGTTGATTTTTGGTGGACACTAAGTTTTAAGCTGATGTTACTCCGGTGTAACATAATATCTTGGAAGAGTAAAATATTCTTTACAAAAAATGGCTGTCAATTGCTGAAATCTCCTGAATAATTGCAAAAGGATTCTTTACGAATCTCCGGAGTTGAGGTGATGAATATAACATCAATCAGTTAAGTGACAAATTTTACATTTGTATTAATTAATCATATATATATATATATATATATATATATATATGTGTGTGTGTGTATATATATATATATATGAAACGTAGCATAAAAAATCTACATACACGTACATATACTATTTTTAATACTTCGACTTCCGAACTTAAGAATTTGAACGATATAAATTATTAATGGTTAATTCTAATATTTTACGTAATTTTGAATCATCAACACGAACGGTAAGAACATATATGCATCTGAAGATTGCAAGAACTGTATGAAATTCCGAGTCGTGCTATCGACGTTATGTATATTCACTAATATATATATATATATATATATATATATATATATATATATATATATATATATATATATATATACAAAGAGAGAGAGAGAGAGAGAGATAGATAGATAGATAGATAGATAGATAGATAGATAGATAGATAGATAGATAGATATGAGAGAGAGGGGGTTGATCTGTAATAAGTGCAGTAGAGTTTTACTTACTAAGAAGATGTTTAAAGAATCCTCAAAATATCAGCCATAATAGAGTTGCTATGATCTGTCATGTACGGTGATTGGTCCGCTGAAATGTCACTCATGAATACATAGTAAGTTTGTTCCTGTTGATAGAGGCAAGCGTGTATGCAATATTTGTAGCAGTCTAAATCCCTGGCTGCGCTCGGAAGCCAAATTTGCGCCCTGCGCTAATGAAACTGTAGAAGGGCGTGACATGTAGCGGGGTCTAGTATAAAATCATACACATTACTAAATATTAATTTACATTGATTTGATGCTACATACGCGCGGGCGTGTGTGTATGTGTGTAGCATGTTGGTGTATTTGTAAATGTCTATTCGTAATGAAGGAATTGTTAGCACAGCAAACTTTCATTTCGTTTCCTCATTCGGGTTTTACATGAACCCCTAACGTTCAATGCCGTATTTGGACGCCGTAGTTAATAACAAATTAAACGACGTCAATAAATTGCGTTTTCTCCCTTGGGAGAACTGCATATAAATTATTTAATAAATCAAATAATGCTCTCTTTCTCCATCTCGAACCTGCAAATATAAATGTCCGACTGCGCTTGCAATAAACGAAAGAACATTCATTTTGGTTGCTATGATTTGATACGTGAAAATTAATGAAAACCCATGGAATTGGACCATTCCCAATTGATACAGAAATAATTTAAAAAATATAAGATGATTTATTCAAACAGTATTTGGACCTTTTTCGAAATATGTCTAATTTTATCTAAAAAGTCCTCAAGGACACATGGCACAGTGGATAAAAGCGTTAGTTCGATCCAGTGACAGGACCCAAGGAGTGTGAGTTCGATACTCGGTTAAGGCAGTGGAAAATTTCTGAGGGAAATTAACAAGAGAAAATAACAGGCATCCATTAAAACATGGCACGTGGAACTAGAACAGTTTACCCCAGTGAGCGAAATAAAGGGTTCAGTTCGACATTCCAACCAGAAGATCGGAGCGTACAACGGCTGAAACGTTGTAATAAATATGGCGACAAAGATGAAGACAATAGTTTGAATAATGTAAATAATGTACATAATACCTCATCTCGGAAATATAGACAGATACTAAAGTACTTTTTATTCAAAGACTTCCAGTTCGGTGACACCAGATAATTAAAATATTAGGGTTCCGACCATGAGACCCCAATTCAATTTGACAGGGATGTGATTCCTTGATAATATCCACCTTGTGAGACGATCACTGCTTGCAACACTGTTGGGAAGTGGAAAAACCAAACCACCGGTTGTTTCCAGCCTTTTGAAAATAGCTCTTTGGCCGCAATCAACGAATCTCCTAGCACGAAGTTCCAAGTCATCGTGACAGAGAGTTTAAAGCATTTTGAATTTGTTCAACTATCAATCACACCAGATTTCTCTTTCTGAAACTATAACTAATGTCCGTTCAACATAGCTACAGTATAAACCACAGGTTGGTTCTCTGAATGTTAAACACAAATGTGCCTGAGCAGGCATCTGCAACAGGGATTAACTAGGGAGCTTTATTTTAAATATGTATTTCTATCTAAAACACTGTTTGTTAGCGTTTCAGGTCATATTCTTCTCTTTGTGCTCATATGTCTCCTCGCTTTCTCCCTTATTTGGACTGTTATATATCTCGCCAATTCCTGCCCTGGATAAAATTCCTTCCTTGGAAGACATGTGTCTTTTATTTGAGAAACATTGTTCTGAATAATTTATCATCGACATCATCTTATAATCTTTGGTTCTCAGAGACACAGGTCATGATCCCTAGTTTCTTCAATTCCTCCCCTATTTTAAATTGTCGACAAATGTTTTTCCATTATACTTATGATTTACATGTGACCGAAATTCCTTCCCTGGCAGCCAAGTGTTTTTGCTTATACTTAAGTCTTGTATATACGACTAAAAGTCTTCGGTAATTTCTCCCCAAACTAAAATTCTTCCCTTTTCAACCAACGGCTATTTGTTTGAGAAAAACATCAAATTATAAGGTCTACATCAATGGTTTTCTTCCCTTGAGTTCCCAGGTTTCAATTCCATCTCTATTTCAAATTGTCTTCTAGTAATTTACCATTTTACTTATAACTGATGCGTATAACGGAAATTTATTTCGAATTTTTCCTCTGTCTAAATTTGCTTCCGTGAAAACTAAATGCATTTTGTTTGAGAAACGTGGCGTATCATTTCCCTTTTCAAAAGGCGAGATTAAAGAAGGCGAATGAGTAATCTGGACTGTTTTCAGAAAACTCGATTTCGCCTTACACAATTTGGACGTGATCCTTTTTACAAAATGCCGAAAGGATTTAAAATGCATTCCCCAATTTAAAAAAAAAGAAAAGAGAACAATACACAACCATATTAATACTCAACCAACTTTCCCCAAAACCAAGATGCACGAAGTATTAATTGTCTGGGATCTCTCTGAAAAGGGACTAATTTCATGGAAGGTGTGCACATTTTGAGGAAATAATACACACATCAAAAGTAATATTTCAGGTTTTAAATAAATAACAAATAGTTTTATTCATTAGATAGCGAAAAATACGGAATTAATGATTGTGAAGATTGATTGAAAATAGCGAAAATATGTGGAACTAAGAAATGCGAATTAGTCAAAATTGGTGGGCGTGCAAAAATTAAAGAATGGGAATAAGAAATAAATTCATATTCTTTAATTCTGCATTTTTCTCTGTCGCACTACTTTCTTCCGCAAACACATTCTTCCCTTAACGAGCCTAGTCAGTACCCAGATGGCTGACCATTTGGGAATTGCAGGCGCTATAAACTTGGATGTCCTAGTGGTGTGTATTGGATAATGGCTTGAAATTGTTAATCGAAAAACCGAGTTCCAATTCCCGTCGGATTCGTTATACTTACTTACGCGCATAAAGGTATGAATCTATCTCTTCTCCCCACTGTTATGGGTTAATTAGTAAAACTTTATCGCTAAACCATTATTGTCTCCCAAAAAAGAAAGAAAGCCGTTTTATAAGCCGTAGAAAGTGAATGAATCAACATTTCTTCCCTTAAGATAATCTCGTGGACTACGGTAACAAGTTCAATTTTAACTGGCTGCATAAGCTTTTGTCCTTGTGCCAGACTTAGATAAACTTAATAAATCTAAATATGGATCGTATTAGTAATACAAACCAATTACATATGACCATCACTGAAACTGCTGCTTTTTTTTTTTTTTTTTGCCATCATCGTGAACTTCATTGCCATAAATTCGAAGCGTTATTGATACTGCTCGTCCCAGCGGTAATGACTTAACACAGAAGCCATTAACAACCAATTGAGTCGTTCCCTAATCCAAAGGACCCCGACAGCGAACCGAAGATCTCCAGCAAACAGATCATCAATAAGGGCCAAATTAGACTTTGGCAGGTAAACATTACCAACTTCATCATTATAATGGCAATTTTAAGTGGTGTTTGCTTAGGAAACTTTGGATTTTCTCGAAAAACACTACAGGGAAAGAGAAATGAAAACGTAAAAAATAAACAGATGACAGGGAGCCCCAACTACTGTGTTGTATTTCAACGGGCGTGATTTAGTGGGCTTTTCTTCGTGTGCCTGTCGCTTTATGTGTATGTCTATCTGCGCATGCGCACGTGTATGCTTCAGTGAGAGCGTAAATGATGATCGTTCCATGATAAACATTTCAGTAGCTTAATAATTATTTAAAAAAAAAGAGAAATTCAATCATCACAATTAAAAACATAGAACAGGTAAGGTTTTATAGACCTGAGCCAAACAAAAATAATAGTTAAATGCGATATGTGAATCTTCAAACCATTAGTATCTGGAGTTAAGCATTGTTGAGCCCGGTCACTACATAGAATGGGGATCGCTTGAGAACACCGGTTACAGTAATCAAACTTCTATGACCTGAAATATGTTTCGGCTTTAAATAATCCACAAAGGGTTGATAAGCCGTAAAGACCCAAATGCATGAATCAATATCTGGAGGCTTTCACTGAAGTTCAAGTAACGTCTCCTCAATAATTTCATACTCTCTTTAGTAATCTGGCTTACTTAATAATATTGTTTCAGTACTCGTTATTATTATTATTATTTTCTTTGATTTCTGGCGTTTACACATTTCTTTCCGGGTCCCGCCCAGGGACCTAAGCTTAGAAATGGCGTCATGACACTTTCCACTGACAAAAAAAAACAAAAAAAAATATTACATAGATAAAGCCCTTCGTAAAGTGTGGGCTGTACTTATCAGAACAATTTTTTGTATTTCCTTGAGGCATGGACTTCCAGGAATCCCTTCAATTAGTCTACTGCAATCTTTTCCAACCAGTCCTAGGGATCCAACTACAACAGGGATTGTTGATGTTCCCATATACCACATTTTCGAGATTTCTATTTCAAGGTCCTTGTATTTTGACAGCTTTTTGAATATCTTCAAAGATACATTGCAGTCAGCAGGGACTGTCATATCAATAAGGAGGCACTTTTTTTGTTTGTGGTCTTTAATAACAATATCTGGGCAGTTGGCTTTGATTGTTCTGTCAGTGTGTATTGTGTAGTCCCATAGAATTGTAACAGGTGGTGTTCATACCATTTTCTTTCAGTTTCCTTCCCGTAGAAGTTGCAGATTTATTATTATTATTATTATTTGAGAGAGCATTACGCCAACATGAAAAGCCCAGTATACCTATTGTAACATCATAAACCAGCAACGTGCATCACAGCCAAGTGTACCCGATCTGGTGACACGTTTTGATAAAAACAGCGTAACTAGGGCCCAGTTAGAAATGCCTTCATGTCAGGTAAACTATTCAGTTTAGACAGTCACCAAGAGTGTTTCTGAGTATCTAGATGTGATTCCCAAATCGCCTAGGCTGCCTCCCCCTTCAAACTAAAAAGAAGACTCTCAACATCCGACCATGATATGTCGTCACTACTCCCGCAGGGATGCACAACAATTTAATTTGATTGATTCGTTTTTTTTTCGGCTTATTATCCCTTTGCAGGTTACTTAAAGCCAGAAAATATTTTAAGATTGTAAGAATTTTTTTTGCCGATAATAATGATTTAGTGATACAAGTCTTACTAATTAACCCATAGCTGGAGGGAAAATAGGCGGATTCATGCCTAATTAGAATTTGATAAATAAACAAGAAATTATAATATGGATATAAAGTGGGGGATCATTTCTATATAATAGTCAGTATGTAAACTGATACCCTACTTCGTGGCCACTGGATTTATATTCCAGAGAATGTAAATAAATTTAAAATACATGCTTGTAAAACTAATCCGTATTTGATTGACTGATTCATTTTCTACAGCTCAACAGCTGGCAGGTTATTTAAAACCAGAAAATATTTTTAAATTGTAAGGATGTTTTTGCAGATAATAGTGATTTAGTGATACAAGTCTTACTAATTAACCCATAGCTGGGGAAAAGAAGTGGATTCATGCCAAGGTCATTTGCGTGTAAGTGAATATAACGAACCCAACTGAAATTGGAACTCGGCATTTCGATTAACAATTCCAAACTAGTGTCCATTACACCACCCGCACAGCCAAGCTTACAGACCCTGTTATTCCCAGACGATCACCCATCTAGGTACTGACGAGGCTCGACATTGTTTAACTTTGGCAATCGTACGGGAACCGGTTTTTCAGCGTTATATGGCCGTAAGCCTAAAGATGCTCAATGTGTTAGTGACTAGGGGATATACCCAACCGGTTATGGTTAGGCAACTGACAAGCAATTCCGTTGTACTACATATAGTATTTACTTTAGCCATCTTAATTTACCAAGATAAACATGTACGTGTTAACGACTTCAATCAATTAAGATCAGAAGCCTCGAGAGCTATGCCGTGTAGGATCAGAGTATTTATTATTATTATTATTATTAATAATATTATTATTATTCGCTGGTATTTTCATACCAGTAGTTAAATGTGTTTTTTCACTGGTATCCAAGTGTCACCATGTCTCTTCAATATTCCAGGATCCTCCTCAGTATTTCTAGTCTATTTTTAGTCGTGGCTATTCTGGGATGTTCCCAGTTCTCCGGGTAATACTGTCATGTTCTACGCTTTCCTTATATCGCTGGCAAAGTCGAGATACTTATCCACTTTATTGCAGGAACAGCCAAATCCACTATCTCACACTTTCTTTTCTTGTTTGCAAATACCTCCTACAAACTTCGAGACGAGATTGGGTGATCTGTTTGGAACTCAATATTCTTCCCAAAGTAAAAAAAAATTAAGTGTTTCGTCTCTAGGTCAAAATCTGATTATGGTGATTTCTACTTGTCCGTCTATTGCCTTTTGCGTTGGACATTGTCGTATGCAACCCACATATCATCAACTGTTATTATATATTTAAGGAAGGAACATTAAGTTAGAATGATGCATTCGTTATTACAATTGCCCTTAACAAACGGAAATTACTTATGACTCAAGGCAACATTAGAATTCTGGGATGAAGTATTTTTAATATTCGTTTTTACGAGTAAATTCTTTATTTTATTATTGTCTCTTTTTGACAAATTGGTTATGGTTAATTCATGAAAGTCAAATTCCAGAGGATATGTCACGCGAGTTCAAGTCTCGCCGAAAGCTATATGTTTAATCAAATCTCACGTTACTTTAACAGTCGGAAGGTATTTGACTTAAAACATAATAAACTACAACACGAGAACAAATACGCTATTGTAAATATTCGCCATGTCATAATTTAAATAACAACAAAGAAAGATCCGATTAATATAACATCTTAAATAAAAATGATTAAAGTCTTTTCTGATATTTGTTTACTTTTTATGTAAATATTTTTAATTAAATGCATTCGTCTGATTATTGACTGATTGTTATTTGTCTTTATTTCATCGATTTAAACCGATCTACAGCTGTTAAATGAAACTATATTAAATCGGAATAATCCTTGAGACTCGAATTTGCATTCCAACATTCAACGAATTATATACTCGAGTATCGTAATTTTTCATGTATCCATCCCATCGTTTCTACTGATTCGTTCTTTAGGCTTCGTTATAACTTATAAAAAGCTCTGTAATGAAGTCATATTATTAATCCAGCTACTATTGAAACGAATATTCGAATTTGTATTGTTTTGTTCCAATACAGAAAGTGAAACACGAAAATGCGAAGGCGCATTGGGATAGTAAAACATGCCTTCCAAAAGCAAAGCAAAGTATTAAAAAACAGGAAAATATCCTTAGAAACAAAGAAAACAGTACTGAACTGTTATGTAATATCAATCCTCGTATCTGGCAGATTGTTGTAACCTAAGGAAGGTTACTGAATAGAATAATCACACGAAGGTTGGTAATGAACAATAATACTTAGGACAAGAACAACACGTATAAGATTCGCCAGCAGCGCGTAGAAGTAATAGTCAACTGCTAGTAGTCAAGAGAATTCCACAATGAATCTCCACCTGCAGACTGCAGATGGTATCTACCAACTGCCCCACGCTGTCAGATGTGGCACGAGGCCGAATTTAATGTGTGGTTCCCGAGCCCGTAAGCTCAGCCAAAAATTCCCCGTAGACCCCGTATAAAACAGGGTCGGGTAAGTGTTTCTTGAGACGAGACTCTGCCCTTCGACATAGCCGCGTCTGAGGATGCTCTCTGCCCGGAGGCAGAGTTTAACCAACCTAGCTGAAGACGAATCTCCAACTGCAGGCCGGCCGACCAACACATACAGTATGCACTACTGTATTTATGGGAATGGGGGATTACCCATTATCGTCTGTAGGTATGATACAACACAGATGAAGAACAGACTTGAAGTAATAGAAATGTGGTTCTACAGAAGGATGCTGAGAATACCATGGATGGGACATGTTAGAAACGATGGAATTCTAGAGATAATGGCAACAAGGACACTTATACTTAACATCAGGAAGAACGAATGAAATTTATAGAGAACCTAATGAGGAAAGAGGGCTTGGAAAATTTGATACTCACATGACAGATTGAATGCAAGAGAGACAGAGGAAAGCAATGCACAATTAACCTGGTATACTTGAGTGAATGTCGAGCAAGGTTGGAAAGACATAGTAAAAAGACAAAATTTATTAAGAGCTACAAAGGACAGGAAATTGTGGAGAGTCATGATCGTCAACGTCCTGGAGTGACACGGCACATGTAAGAAGAATTTCGCACATCGCAATTATTTTATTAATTTTGATTTTATTTTATTGTTGCAATTTTTTCTCAAAATATTCAGGGTCAATAAAATTGAAGCCACGGCACAAGACTGATGGCTTCAGCCTTCTTACTATTTTGATAAAAAAAAAATCATGAGCAGTTAATTGACTTTGTTTAATTAGATTGGTTTGGCTTGTTTTACGGCATATCAACCTCAATGGGTTATTTAATGCCGACAACATTTTCATTGTTGGTAATATTTTTTCCAAAAATCTATTTCTGGGAATATTTTTTCCTTCAAAAATCTATTCCTGGAAATATTTTTTCCTTCAAAAATCTATTTCTGGAAATATTTTTTCCTTCAAAAATCTATTTCTGGAAATATTTTTCCTTCAAAAATCTATTTCTGGAAATATTTTTTCCTTCAAAAATCTATTTCTGGTAATATTTTTTCCTTCAAAAACCTATTTTTGGTAATATTTTTTCCTTCAAAAATCTATTTCTGGAAATACTTTTTCCTTCAAAAATCTATTTCTGGAAATATTTTTCCTTCAAAATCTATTTCTGGAAATATTTTTTCCTTCAAAAATCTATTTCTGGAAATATTTTTTCCTTCAAAAATCTATTTCTGGAAATATTTTTTTCTTCAAAAATCTATTTCTGGTAATAATTTTCCTTCACTGGTAATATTTGTTTTTCAAAAATATATAGCTGGTAATATTTTTTTTTAAAATGGATTGCTGCTAATAACTTTTTGCAACTTATTTCTGGTATTAAAACCTATTTTTACACTTTCATATTGTTTTGACCCCAGTTTGGGGGTTAACTATTTGCCCATAGCTGGGACACTAAAAGGTGCTATCAACCCGGGTCAAGGTGGACCTGGGAACACCAGCAATTAAGAGGTGGTTCCACGCTCCTCAAAACATCCTGATCAGAGGACTTGCTGTTGGACGTAGTTTATGGTCTTGCCCAGGATGCAGATGTAGTTTATCGTCATACCCAGAACGGATCTAATTAGACTCAGTCTATGAAAAATGCTGAATTGTATCTTGTCAAAAACAATGGTTTTTAGACAGGGAAAAATTCTCCCCGGGGGTCGGGTGGTGTGGATTTCAGGGTTTCAGGGAGAGGAAGGAAAACATTTTCACATTTTCCTGTTTTTGATCATGAGAGTAAAAAAAAAAAAAAAAAAACTCGTCTATAAAAATAACCCATATACCGTATATGTACTAATATGGAAAAGAATGAAAATTTTCAATGATATATGCATATTATTTAGAATGCACTTTTGAGTCAGACAATCTTGGAAATGGGTGGAGGAATGACATTTTGACATGATGAAAAGAGTGCATTATGTAAAAAAGATTGGGAACCATTGGTCTAAAATAACAATTCCCATTAATTTAAAAAAAAAATAAATAAGCAGACTTCATCTCTCCTTATTTCCGAAATAGTATCTTTGAAAACATTTATATAAGTCTTCTATGCAGAAAAAAAAGATCTAGAGGAGTGATTCCAGAAAATAGATACAAGAAAAAAATATGTGTATTTGAAAGAAAAAGTCTTAACAACAAAAGAAAAAAAATTGAGAGGATTAGATAAGAAAAAAGGAATCGAATAGGCAAGAACTAAACGCAGACACGCAGAGACAAACACACATTCAGACTGATATATAGTTTTGTATGTGTTATACTTAGAGGGAAACAGTG